AAACTAAAAATAAAAAATGCTCAAATTTTGCATTTCCGGCACCTTACCTAAATAGCTAAATGCTTATTTAAAAAGTATCTCTTTTGAGAAGCTACGGATATTTTAACATCATACTGTTATTATAATTGCTAAGAAAAATATCTTCGAAATTGCAAATATTCTCATACGTCAGGAGCTAGAAATTGTTTCTGATTTACATTCATATTAGAAAACAGATTTTGATGTCTTCTTTAATTAGTTCATTAAATACATTGAAAACATTCTTATTATTATGTTAATATTTTATTTTTTGTCTTTACCAGACAGTGATCTACTGTATGAAGTCAATAGATGTTTTGCATAGTAATGTCACGTTGATAGAAAGTACACAGGTCGTGACAGACAGACCATGCCAACGAAAGGTAGATCTCTATCTGATGGTTATATAATGTTCATCTACTCGATCTCCCAGATCAATGATGTCAGCGCCTGGATCCATAGATTTTTGGTCGGAAAACTTGGGAAAACAATAGGAATCCTATAGTCGGACTTTCCTAGTTTCGATCAGAACAGGTCATAATCGGGCAGAGCCAGCCGCTGAATTTCTGCTTCCAATTTCTTCCAATTTTCCGGTGAGCATCAGCTCTTATTTTGTTACATAGAAATTGTGCTTTAGGACAGCTTTCCTATATAAAAAGTGTTATGAATTAATATGAAACAATGATCGTTACAAACTCTTATTTATTTCCAATGACTATTGTAGTTTTAGTCGATTTAATTTTTCTGTAAATTCTTTGTATGATTTAGATGTGTCTCAAAAACAAAGATTAATATGATTTATGTTTATTAGTCTATGATTTTCATTCGTGATCATTTTACTATATTTTTGATCTGTTTTTGAATCACAAAAAAATTATTTATCGATGAAACATTTAAAAAAATCTAGTAATTTCAACTTAGGTCTAGAAGTACGAACTGTTTCCGGCCAAAAAGCTCGAGAAAACGGTAGGAACTTGGAAGAAGGAATCCGGCGATTGGATTCCTTCTTCCAAGTTCTTACCATTTTCCTGCCAAAATCATTAGCCTGATTAGACTAATTCTCGAAATTCTTTTAAACAAGTAGAGTGAAACATGAATAACTGATCTCTTTAATTAATTGAACTTTTGTTTGAAATGGTATGATAATTCGATGGAGAAAAACTATTAATAAAAAAAAATCTGATCATTCCATATTTGAATAAATTTAATTTTGATTATGAATTCTTTTTTTTTGTTCAGGTAACAAGAAAACTCTGATGGATATCGTACATAAATTAATGGTTCATATGAATAAATCTGAAGAATCACATTATCGAGATGAATTACTTTCAAAAATAATTGAAATATGTAGTCAAAATGATTATCACCATATAGCTAATTTTGCATTGGTTTACATTTATTTTTTTAATTTTTATTAATAAAAAAAACATTATTTATTAAAATAGGTATATTAGTATATTAGTCGAATTAACTCGTCTTGAAGGTACAAAACATGATAATCTCATATCTTTACAAATGCTTGATATTGCTGTTCGTGTTGAATCTATTCGTTCATTTGCTTGTAATCAAATGATAGAAATTTGTCAAAAATAAAATCACGAAAAAATTTTTTTATTTCTATTCTTTCAGGCAATTCTTCTTGAAAATGATTATGTTTTTATTCATGATTCAAATTCTACAACTGTCCCCGAAGTTTTATATGCTGCTGCATGGATTTGTGGTGAATTTTGTTCGTACGTTAATAACGGAAAAAAAAATTTATTGAAAGAATTCTTGTTTTACTTTTCTCTATAGTTATTGAAAAGAACCACAAAAATTTTTTGAATCAATGCTTAATACAAAAATAACTCTATTTCCTGGACATATTCAATCTGTTTACTATCAAAATATTTTGAAAATTATTATATATTTAATTCAATCGTCGAATAATGATGAAACATTAATTCAACAACTACTTTCATTAACGATTGATAAAATGTCTTTATTTTTATCAAGTGGTGATGTCGAAGCACAAGAACGAGTAGGCCATGTTTCTTTTTATTTTAAAGGACATCAAGATAAAAAATTGCTTTTTTCACATGGGAGATGAACATGTAATTTCTGTTGCTCAGAAGATCATCTTCAAGAAAATCTTTTATTATATATCATTCAACGCAGTTTCATATGTTGATTTCTATTTGTGCTGATATAGGTCATATAGAAGGACTTGTAGGTAAAGTGTGAGTAGACTTAGATTGGTACGAAGAGGTGCGCATCCATTTTGCTATAACAGAGTGGTTTGGAAAATTCATTGCAGAAATGTTCATCTTATTTCTCAAAAGTAACGACTCAAAATAAAATTTTTGTTTCACTAGAGAATGCACGAATTTTAAAATATGTATTGCTTTTGCCAATTAGTTGGTTACATCTTGAGTAAAAATTAATTTTTCGTAACCTAACAATATTTTTAGGCTAATTTTGGATCAGGTGATTTTCTACGTTACGCAACAATTTTTACGCAATCAAAAAGAGCATATTTTCAAATATATTAATCACTATGTGAATCATTGAAAACTCGATTTTCATTTTTTCACCTAATATTCCTGCGTCCACCTCCTCACACAATGGACAGCCTGGCGATAAAATCGATTTATGATATCTGAATCTAGGTTGTAGCTAGCAATAAATCTACTATGAATCTGCATTTAATTACACTTTGAATTCTAATTGCAAATGAGTAGCCGTCTTGTAATAGCTATTACCAAATAGATAAAATAATATAAATAAAACGTATGTTTCAAATTGAAGTTTTAATGATATTCATTAGATGTTATATAGTTATTCAGCGTTATATATTTACTCTATATACTACAGGCCGTTTGGATTTACTGAAGATCCTTCTGCTCCATTAGAACTAAAAAGTAACGACTGGTGAATAATGTAATTTTTTCCCACATTTTTATTTAAATTTGAATTTACTATCGGATTGAGTATGTCACCACCAAACTTAAGTTGGATACACTAGCATATGGATCCAAACTCTTGTGAATATCCATTGTCCCAAATATAACCTCCGATATAGACCTGTCCTAATTGGCTTCTACTATGATCACTCATTTTTCGAATTGGCGAAGGTTCAAATAAATAATACAAGTTAAAACTTATACATTTTTCAAAGTTTTACATCGATTGTTTAGTTCTAAACACAAGCCATAAATAGTAACTATTTGTCAAAAATCTTTCGAATGAAAGAGGCTAGATAAATCACAATTAATCAACATCAGCTATCCAAAGTTTACAAAATTATTTTTAGAGAGAATCTATTTGCTCAAGTATACTGTAGGTTTTATTATGTATCAAACAACTGATATACGTCATAGAATTTTGAGAAGTTGCTCTTTTGAAAATATTGATCGAAACTAATTGAACTTGAAAAAATTATGAAAAATGCTATAAAAATAATCATAATATAAATCTTCGGATATCTTTTACCAATAGCTCGAAATATTAAATATAAAAAAAAAGAAATTATTTATTTAGGCAAGTGTTATTTTACATATTCTTAAAACAACATTAAAATGAATTGAAAAATCTGAATTTAATGTAAATGAATTATCAGTATTATTCGATTGTGTTCTTAATCCAGTTGCTGCTAAAGCTCAAAGAAAAGTTGTTGTACCAAATAGGTAAAATAAAATTTGTTTGATAAATTTTTTTTTTGGATTTGATTATATTCTAGTTTGGATTTGAATGCTTGGATAAATGATCCTCCATCGAATAGTGAAGATGAATCAATAACAACAAGTTCACATTATGATAATAAAGATCTATTTTATGGTGATAATGGAGAAAATTATAATTCTAATTTATATTCCGATGTTACATTAAGTTATCAAAAATCAAAAAAATATATTGAACCAACTGCTGATGAATTAGAAAAACAACGAGAATCAAGAAAACAAAGTGAACAAATGAATCCATTCTATTTGAAAGATTCGAAAAAACCAAAATTGACACAAAGGGTATGAGTATGAATTTTTGATTTAGAGATCTTTCGAAGAAAGTTTCTCCCAACTAATTAATCGCTTTTGAGTCGAAACTATGTACATCATATTGACATAAATAAGCTACAGACATATTACAAATTTACAGTAGTTTTTAAACGAATGCATTAGTTCCTCTTCAGGAAAATTGATTTTCGAATTGTAACTTGAAACTCGATGTAAAGACAGGGCTTAAGGTTAGTGATTTGTTGTGAACGTTTCAAATCTTTTGATTAGCTTCTATGTTGACATAAGAACGTCGAATTTGTTATTAGATATAAAAGACAAATTTTTACTATACCTTTATCTTAAGATAGGAGCAATGGTAAGGTCTGAAACATTCACAAGAAACTAGTCTCGTTAAGATCTGTCTCTATGGAGAGTTCTAAGTCAAAATTCGAAAATTAGTTTTTATCATATTTCTATAGGGCATCATGACTAGAATTCATCGAGTTCAAAGTTTTCGAACTCGGGACCAATCGGACGGGCTCGAACTACGACATTCATTTAAGAACTACCGTAAAACTCTAGTATCTCGACAGCAATAAGCTACCGACTTGAACTGTCTTCAGGATATTCTTAACTCATTTGATTCTACAGAATACAAATAGTCTAGTTCAGTTCTTGAATTTGTCTTTAATATTGTAGACTGAAACAACTTTGGATACTATAAATGGTAATGATCGTATTGAATCAACATTATCACAAGGAACAAATGTTACTAAGTCACAATTAATACTATCTGATCAATAATATCGTCAAGCAAAAATTTATGAACAAAATAGATGTTTAAAGAGAAAAATCAAAAACGGATGGTAAATCATCAAAAAAAGGAAAGAAATCATCGAAAAAATTTAATATAACAGTAATCGATGATAATGATGATGATATTTATCGAATTGCTGAAGTAACACGTGGTGGTGAATTACCAGAAGGTGCTACAGAAAGTGGAAATGAAGACAATGATCATGATGTTATTGTTGGAAAAAATAAAAAATATGATCCACATCGAGCACTTAATATTGACTTAAGTGAAAAACCTATTCAATCGATTCCTACATCACCACCACTATTGACATCTCAATTAAAAGAACAGTTCCTAAACAAGTTGAAACACCTCCCATATTAACTGGAAAGCCAAAAAAATCTAAGAAAAAGAAAATAATTGAAAAACAAGAACAATCATCAACATCGAAATCTAAACACAAACGAGAACGTAGTGATTATAAAAGATTATTATCACCAGCTGATGAGGAAGAAAATTGTCCAACTTCAACACCTCCTCCTTCTGCTATTGCAAAGAAACCAAAGAAAAAAAATCATCGTCAGAAACAAACCACTTCTATTGGACATTATGACAGATGATGTTCATCTAACAAATCAATCTGAGCAACAATACAAAGAACAAAATACTTATAAACTAGTTGCTCAATCTGACAATTGTAAGTTCAATAGTTATTCTAGTTTAACCAATAGATGAGAAAACTTCGCTAAGCGATAAAATGCTTTTGATATGAGTCTTATCTCATTAGATAGATTCTATTGAGATTTGAGAAAATCTATGCTACCTTCTTGAATGATGTCTATTGTATTAAGTTTTCAGCATAATCCTATAGTTCCGTCCGATTTCAATCAGTTATAAAGTTTGATATATTATTTATTTTTAGGAATATTCAATTAATCCAGATCCATCAATAGCTCAACTTGATGTAACATTTCTTTTAAAAAATCGAACATCATTTATTATTGATCATATTAATATTCATTATATTGATAGTATGAGTTCGAAATTATTGAATACAACAAGTACAAATTTAATATCATTTCCATTTATAAGAATTTTTCCTCATTCGCAAAATTATATTCATATTTATTTTTCAATAAATGCTATATCATTTTCTCAAAAATTAAAAACAACATTAACTTATTCTATAAATGTATGTTGAAAAAAAAATAAAATAAAAAAAACAGATTTTTTTATTATTATTTTTGATAAACATATTTAGAAATCAAATATAATTGAAACAGATAGAATTGAATTTAAACTTAATTTGCCTTGTTCACAATATTTACGACGAAAGACTATTGATTCGTAAGAATAGATTTTTTTAGTAAATTATTTAATATACATATATTTTTTGAAATGTTGTATTTGCTGATTTGATGAGTTCGGGTACATTGACATGTCAATCACAATTTCGTATTCCATTATCTAATCAAGATTTTCTATTGATAATTAATACAATTTGTCAATCTTATCGATTAACTGGTTAGAAAAAGAATTTAAATAAATCGTTTTTTTATATTTAAGTATTTAATTTTGTTATCGAAATAATTAATTCAGCTGCATCTTTATATGCTGAAACAATTTTTGGACAACCAATAGCTCTTTTATTTAAATCAATAGTATGTATATTTTGAGATTTTCATTAATAATCAAACTAAATAATTTTTATTTATTTATTTCTAATCTCATGGAAGAAATGAAAACATCATTAAAATAATTTGTTTTTCTTTTCTCTCTTTCCTTATTTCATTTATTTGTAGTTTTATTTTTATTTTTATTCCATAGATAATATCTATATATAAAGCGAAAAGAAAAATAACAACTGACAAACAGTGATCTTTTATTTTGTTGCATCTATTATCTTTATTTACAAAAACAAATCTCCCTTATGTATCAGATAATAAGTATAATTGATCTTCTGACACAGAGAAAAATATGTTCTTTGCTTTTTTTTATTCTGAATGATTATAGTCAATTCTCATGTGTATGCATATTTTCTGTTTTTTGATTTTTTTATTTGCTATAATCCGAACATTATATATATATATTTATAAAAAGAGAAAAATTATTGATAAACTATTTAATCATTCTCGATTGGTTTCAAATAATTAGAAGAAAGAAATTTTTCTTTTTCATGAAACTTATTAAATTTCCAAGTGAAATAAGTACCGATGAGCTGGAGCAACCGTTAATTGTCTTGATCTTGGATAGAAAAAGTTTTTTAGTTCTGAGTTCGACAACTCTATTGTTTACGAAAAGAAAATGGATTATTTTACTATGAAAATTAGAACAGCAAATATTTATGTGATCGTTACTCAATAATTATCGTATAAACTTAGAATACCTGAGTCGCAACAACATGACATGTGATGCAAGTTTTACATGACTATAAAAGATATCACTCACAATGAAAGAAAATGTTGTGCCTGACTCCGGTCCCATATCTAGATATGCGGTAAAGAGTAGAATCCGTCAGGTTGGTCTTCAATACTTTACTTGATTTTGCATTATCATCTCAAATATCGATATAATCTGGAAAAGTCAAATCCAATAAATAACTTGTTTTTACTGAAAAATCACTGTGACAGACTCTTATTCTGTAAGGTATCCTAGGAGTTTTTCAGTATATCTTTACTATTTTATTGAATTTTATCAACTAATTCTTTTTATAATAGGCTCATACACTGAGTTTTTAATTACACGAAAAAATTTCAAAAGCAACCTTCAAAGCTGTTATTTTTAACCTAAATGCAAAAATTTAGCTGGGTGTGGGTGTTAATGAAAAGGAGATCGACATCCACCTACACCCACACCCCAAACCCGCACTCACACCCATACCCAGTAATAAAAAGCTCTTGATGAGATGCAATCACATCGAAAGGAAGAAGTGAAGAAAAAAAAATGAAGTTTTACTTTTCTTTAGCAGTCGTTTATTTACATATTCTATCTTCACATTGTCACTAACTGTACAGATACAAACTCAGGAAGAAAAAAAATCGATGGCAACAATAATAAAAATGCTCTTCAGTGTGTTTATTTTGTTGGCTTGTTCGTTGATAATGTACTTTTTTTGTTGATCTTTCTTGTTTTTCGTAGTTGCATTTTCAGAAGAAACCCGACAGAATCATGCACTCAACCTTACGGCCATTTTTTTATTCGCGGAACAAAGTTCTGTGTTTGTGCAAAGACATGCGACCATGCACTACAATGATGGTGTTTTGTTTTTGTTACTTTTGAGTTAAGAAAGACAGTAGTCATGTTTTAAATATCTCTACTGATTTCAGTTAAAAAAATACCAGCAATACTTTTCATTATTTGTCAACTGTATGCAAATATAGATGGCTCTCTTTCGCATGCATGCAAAAACAGAATTTGTTGATAGATGAGTTTTTTAATCATATTCTGCGCTCATAATATTCCACGTTTTCACTGTATTATATAGAATAGATGTTGATAGTATCAATGATTTAACATCAGTTTCTATAGAGAAACATGTTTCCTAATACGTTTCCTGTTGAAATGCATTAACTGTTAATATAATTTTAGTTATGCACGTATGTAATGATGTACATTAAAATTGAATGAATCCTCAATAGGGTATGGATGTGGGTGCATGATTTATATGAATCTAATATGTATCTTTTGAATTTGGTCTAATTACTATTTATTCATATACACCTATTATTGTAGATAAAAAATGTCAGTACGTATACTTCCTCATTCATTCAGAACAAGACTAATTGTTTCGCAAATGATATCAACTGTTTGACAACAATGAATGAGTTGAAACTAGGACTTTCGACTAAACTTGCGAAAAATTTATCTTGCAGATCGAATTGCAAAGGTTACATTATGAAAAGTTCTCGAAAAGAAGTTTTGATCTTTATAAGATTATGATTTCAAGATAATGGATGATTTTGATTGATGCATAGTATTTCATCAGAAGTTTATTTTAAAATAACATACATCGTAAAGTTTAGATGAAATTATTGTTGATTTATATCTTCACAATCAACCGTTTTTTTCAGTATCTCCAAAACAATACGAAAATCACAGCTCAATACCTCACAAACAACAATTATGATATGTGTGCATGCTCAGACTAATCGTTTTTGGTATTTTTTCACCCACAATCACGATGAGAGAAAAACTGATTCAGCAACTATAACGTGTGATACATGTCTTCAATGACGAAGCACGATGTGAGCAGCTTTCTTTGCTTGAATCACTTGTTACCTAACAGCAATATATTGAGCATGTAAACAACGTTGTTCGATGGTTAGTTCAAAAAAAAAGTCCAATCGAATTTTCTTGTCATATTGTTCACATTATTATCATGTCGATCACAGACAGAAAGAAAAAAATCGAATTAACAATGTCTGTGTTGATTTTTTTTTCGTTCTTGTCAGAAAAAGAAAAACTTCGTTTTGAAAGAATCAAAGAAACTAAACAATGTATGAAACAACGTATCGAATGTAATGGCACTTAAGTCATTGTACAGATGAAAAGTAAGCGAAAGTTGGAAAGAGAATAACAATAGAATAAATGATGCTGTTAGATTTTTTTCTCTTTTGTTTACTGTTAATAAGCCTATTTTCAATTGAAACGAGGTGAAGTTTATCGTTGAGTGTCAACAAAAAATCAACCATATTTTACATCGTAGCAATATCTAGAAAAAAAAAAAAAGCCAATAACGACTATAGGGCATAGGTTTGTCTTTGCAGCTTCTCTTCATTCACACGCAAATTTCAGATATATCATTTGACACAGATCAATATTTCAGCCGGTGTAACAGAATTTCAAATTGTTGTCTACTTAAATTTAACTTAGAGAAATTAAATGTTCTTACCAATGGTCTCATGATGCAAAACAGTATCTAATGTCGAGAAAGTATGACTCTTACAAATATTCAATAGTTATCTATTTTGTGGATTGATTTTATGGCATATGTAGTCTTCTCAATCACCTCTTTGTCTAGAGTTGTTTGTAGAGCTTCAAAGACTTCAATAGTTCATGAAGATCTTCTTTTTATAAGACAGTGTTCATATTTCATTTAAAAACAATGCTTTGTTTTAGTTTCACTGATGTTAGTAAAGAACGTTGTAACTATACCTAAATGGTATTTCATGACATCTTTCAGTATTTAGAGATTTTTCGTAAAAGCAATGATAAATTTCGAGCATGAATACTCTTTGTTTGTTACGATGAAACTTTCTGTCGTAAAATCCCATGTTGGTATCCTGTTGCCTTCGAATCTTAAACAAAACAACTGAATACTATGTCGTTCATGACTTTATTTTGTTAATTTCGGAATAATCATCGACTTCGTCTAGCTCTACTGATGTATCCGAATGGTAACATAAGCTGATTTAAATATGAAGTCAGTCTGTTATGCAAATCTAGAGATTTATTCCAAATTCAAGTTTTAGTAATATCTTTCTTTCATTTCTTACCAATATTTTCTCCACCATCATTGTCTTCCTTTTATAATGTAAACATTTTTGTAAGCTAATAAAACTTCCGAAAAACCTCTATTTACACCACGACAAATTTTAAAACATTCGTATCACAATGAGAAAAAAGTTGAACGCCCTAGAGAACTGATTCTTGAATATTCATTCGATTTTAACGATCTTTTGAATATGAACTGAATCATATTTAGTATATACATTTCAGCAAAGTAGATAGTGTCATAACAATAACCGTGGGAAGAGACGAAATAAATATAATGTAATGAACAGCATTGAATTAATTTTTAAGATATTTCGATTGATTCAAACTCGTCAACACGATAGAAGAACACAGAGAGACAGTCGCAAAGAGGCAAAGAAAGAAAAAATGCAATATTACCTTTTTTAGCAGTCCTTTATTTACATAGTCTACTTTCAAATTTTCACTCACTGTACAGACACGAATGAAAGAAGAAAAAACATCGATGGCAACAATAACAAAACTGCATCAATGTATGTTTTTATTTCGTTGGCGCGTTCGTTGTTAATGTACTTTTTTGTTGTTGATCTTTCTTGTTTGTCATAGTTACATTTTCAGAAGAAACCCAACAGAATCATGCAATCAATGTTACCACCGATTTCTGTATTCGCGGAACAAACTTCTTCGTTCGTGCAACGACATGCCACATGCGCTACAATGGCGATGTTCTTTTTTAGTTATGTATTCAATATTACTGTCGATTTTAGTTAAAGAAAATGCCTACGATACTTTTTATTATTTGTTAGTTGTATGCATCCAAAATAGATGTTTCATAATATGTTTTGTATCGAAATAGATTTATTATAGACAGAATTTTAGTGATAAACGTATACATAGGGCAGGAGTTTACTCGTTGTCATTTCTACGCATATTAAAATTCTGTGAGCCTCAAATGTGAACATACACAATTTGAATATTATTTCTTTATGAATGGTATAGAGATTAATAAAAGTTCAGCAGTTAGAATACCAAAAGAAAACAAAATTTCTCCTTATTAAACACATTTCGAAAGAATATAAAATAAATCAAAAATCATTTTAGCAAGATTGTGAGTGATATTATATTCATTCTACAAGTCTCGCTCATATACTCTCACGACTACATTGGTCACACTGAAAAACATGTATATAGCAGTACTTGTCTA